AGGTGGAGTGGATGATCTTTGGAAAGAGCCAGAACAAGCTGTGCTATACGTAGTCTGGCACAACTAAGGTCATACTAGCTTTGTCCTGTCAAATCTTCCTGCCTCTTGTGCATTGGGGATCCCTGTCAGCTCTCAAGCAGAATTTTAGACATGGTTATTCTGCCTTGGAGCAAACTAGTTCATGATGAGCTCATCCTGCAAATATCAGAAGAGCCAGTGAGATCCAGAAAAACTACTCATGCTGATTTGCAGCCTTCAGAGTTGGGGTTGTTGGCTAAAATAGTGTTTAAGGGTCCTTCATTGTGAATGCATCATTCTCATGGTTTGCTTCCTGACACAAACTCCCTGTCTGTTCAGGTAATATACCACAACCATAGTATCTGAGAGAATCTGCACAGAATTTTCTTTGATCCTTGGGAAATGGGACCTGAGAGCCAATCTGATGACTTAAATCTTTAGCAAATTTGTACGGGCCTGGACTCTTCAGGTCTCCGTGACTATGAAGACTCAAAATTCCTGGTGTACCCGTCAACTCAGATTGTAATTATTATCTAACGAATGAGAGCAGAGAAAGGTATCCAGGTTAAGACATTCTCTGGTAGCACCCATCACAGAAGACAGCCTATGCTCTACTGAGACGAAATAAAGAAGGAGCAAGTCTCCTCCAGGACATGAATTACCCTCTGTAAAACTGGGAGCTTGTATGCCAGTATTCCAGGTATCGATGTACCTGTGAGATCAGACACCAGACATACCTGTAAAACCAAGCATTTGAGGAATGCCCTCAGGACTGCTGCCAGCCTGAAAGGGTACGCCCTGCACTGGTAGTGTTTTCTGCCCATCATAAACCTGAAGCACGTCCTGTGCCTTTACCTTCTTGAGATGTGGAAGTAGCACCTTGAAGGTTGAGGGTGCAGAGCAGGGGTTATGCTTCCTAAAGAAGCTATGTATTATTTGATTTTCCTTAAATATTGGTTTAATTCATGGAGGTCCAGGATAGGATATAGGCCAGCACTTCGTTTCAGTATAATAAACTTTTCCTGCACTGTCCTGTAGCACCACACTTGTATGGTTCCCGTCATCATGAGGATCAAGACCTCTTCTCACAATAGTTTCTTCTGAGAAAGTACCCTGAAAAGGGAAGGTGGTTATATTTTGGCATGGCTTTGAACCTAAGGGAGAACACCCCATTCAATGACCTCTAGGGTCCAAGAGTTAAAGAAATGGCTTTCTGTGTTTGGGATAAACAGTTCCCAAAGAGAGGAGTAGAACAGGAAGGTGTGCAACAGTCTAAATCTCTTAGAACTGGTGTGGAGTCCTGCAGCACACCTTTATGCTTGCTTAGCTATAGCAGGACCTGCCATTGGGTCCCCAGAAGTAGATGCCATTCATTAGGTGAGGCTGAAACGACAACTAAGGATGTTTGCAGAATAATTCAAATATTTCCCTGGGGAACTATAGAATATAGCACATAGGTATATACAATCTAACTTCCTAGAAACTGAGTCAACAGAGACAGGGTGTTTCAGACTTCTTTGGCTGGTTTCAACAGATCTTCATTAATAGGCTAGAAAGTTCTCTCTCTCTTCCTTGGAATTCTGTGAATTCTTGAACTTGGCAACTGCAGGAATCTCCAGAGCTACCGCCATTCTGCCCATCTTGCCCCTGAAAGGCCTAGGCATCACGCAGAGGAGAGGAAGAAGTAGTTAAGACAGTCTCATCCAAGGATGAGGGAAAAAGGGTGCCTCTAAAGGGTCTCCCACCAGTTCTCCTTCCTCCTCTGAGGTAGAGTGACTGAGGCATAAATACTGCAAGGGATGCAGAAACAGCAGGCTACAGGATCCAGACAGCAGCCTGGAGGAAGAGACTTCCTGGGGAAAGGAGACTCTGATCTCTTATCATCGCTTTCCAATACAGGAGATGGAGGATCATAGGTCCCAAAAGCTCTAACTGTGCCCATATTGAGGAAATCCTAGGTAAAACACTGTAGCTATCCAAGATGCCTTCTGGTGCTCCTCTGAGGTGTACCTGCAGCAGAATGTTAAAGAACTTGCTTTTCTTGAGTTCAAGACTTCTATGGGACTGAGTTGAGATCTGGCAGGAATTGTGGACTCTGCAGTCTGATGGCATTGGCTTAGTCTAGAATTGGGGCTCCTGTGGAGGATTTGTCCATATGGTGCCAGGGAGAAGACAGCTCTGGAAAGAGCTTGACAAATCAGAAACCATTTGACACATCCTAAGAAGAACAGTCAGGTGCAGCACTTAGGGCAGGTCCAAGTTCTCGGACATGTTCTCCTATAGAGTCTTCAAAGAATGGTCTCTCTTATTCCTTTGGCCATGCCAATCTGATGAGTGTTCTCAGGCAGATGACATGGCCATTCTGAAGAGGTCCTTTTCTGAAACCCCAATAGTCCAGGGAAAACACGCTGTGCTCCAGCTAGACTCGATAGTAGGGTCTTTGCTAGAACACTTTTTCTTACTACGTGGCTTCCTCAAACCACTGGCACTGTAGAAGGTGCTTTCCCTAGCTCCATTCAAAGAACTGCTGTAATAACTGGGGCCTAGTAGGCCTATCTCAGTTGTGAGCCTAACTGTGGGAAAGCGGATGGAAATGTATGAAATGGTTCTAGTCACCCGTAACAAGAAACGTGGATGGGAAAAGGTAACAAAAGTGCAACTCAGCCTGTTACAGAAGATTGTTTATAAAAATCAGTAAGAGTGGGGGGGGGAGGGGAGGAGGAGACAGTCTAAACAAATAGGCTTAACGATACCACTCAAGGACTTGTTGAGATCATGCCCGGTAAACAAGAGGAGGAAGGGATTGGAAATCCGTGATCCAAAATTGGTGTGTTGGAAATTAGGCCTAATTGGTGAACGTAATGAGAGCATGGGCTATTATGCCCATCACTCCCTTTTGAAGTCCTTAAAAGAAAAAACTTTTCAGAGAAAACCGGGAAATGCGAGTGCAACAATTGCTGAATGAAAAGACGGAGTGAGCTTCATCATCACGGCTGCTACCTTCACAATCTCCTGGGGCTCTGGAATTTACCACCACATCCTTGCACCTTGGTGATCCTAATCCCAAAAGATGTGTTGACCACACTGGGCCACGAGAGGAACCCAGATGATATCACCACCTCCAGTGGCTCTGGCTAAATCCCAACCACCACCTGAGATGTAAGTCTTTGTGCCTCCCGCTCCATTTGTCTGTTTCCTTCCCCATCTAATTTCTTCTCTTTCCTACCTCTCTCCTCTTGCCTTCTGTCTAAGGACAGTGTGATTTAGCTGGCCAAGACTGTATGTTTTGCAACACTGCTGTAAGTCTGTGACCAGAGAGGCAGCAAAAGCAATGCCCTAGTTAGCCTGACACTGATACTAGGTCTCGGGAGTGGCCAAGACTGCGTGCTATGGCTGTGTTGCTCAGTGAGACTGCAAATGTGAATCAACACCAAAGACAAGATGCATTTTCAAATCTTTGGTGTTCTTGTCTCTCCTATCTTGTGGGAGTTTGTTTTGTTTTGTCTTCTAGGAAATGGGATTGGACTGTAACAGCAACAAATAACCACAGCTTAAGACCATATCAACTAAGTTCTCTTTTCCCCTCCAAAAAGCACTGTTATTACCATCTCTAAAACCATCTAAAAGACTGTCAAACAGGAGGAGCTTCCTTTTAAAAAACTCTCTTCAGCTAGAGGGAATGGGAACAAGAGATGTTGTTAAAATGAAAGCCTTACTTATTTTACATTTCATATGCTTTCAACTCCCCGCTTCTTTTCTATATCTTTAATAAAAGGTTAAAGATTTTTAATGGTGTGTTTGCCACGTCAATAAGCGCCCCAAGCTCTCTGTATTCCAAACCCTGGAGCTTGTTTAAAACTGTTTAATGCTGGACAGTTTCAGGGTCTCCTTGTTAGGAGAAGGTATCCCTGACTCATGCACTATACCAGAGAGCAGCTTCTGGAGCTGAATCTCATAGTCCTTTTGGGTCCTGTAACAGCTATGGCAATTTCCTTCAATATCTTTGGGAGATCTTACAGTATTAAGTCAATGTCTCATTGTGGGCCAGGGACTGTATGTAGTTCCATGGAGGAGGGGGACCACAGCCCTCCAGGAACAAAGAAAAGTGGGGTGGGCCAGGCGGTTATTTGGCAAATTCCCTGCTGTAACACCTCCAGAGAGCTACCATCTTCTGGGGAGGCTCACGTACACTAGTTCAAATTGCATTCACCAGATGCCAACAGACAAAGAAAAGACTTTTGGAAAAATGACCTAAGTTTAAACTGATTAAGGACCTTCTTTCCATGACTGCTCCAGCTGGTGAAGGAAGAGGAACGGAGGGATCACTGGGGAAGATGGAGTATTCATACTCTCTGTTTATGGAAAGTAGGCCATAAGGGAATTGTATTTCCCTTTTACTGCCAACTATTGCTCAAAAAGAATCCGTGGCTGCCTGGATAGGCATGTAGGTACTATTGTAAGGCACTCTGAAGGCTAAAAACCACCAGATTTTCTATCACCATTTCTACAATGCAGTTTGTGTTGTCAATACAAACATCTGCAATATACTGAAAATTTGGGAGCAGCACTAAATTGAACTTAATGTAAAAAGAAACAACACAACAGATATTGTTTTGACTGTATTATTCCTTTTCATATTTAATTCAATAAAAGCTTCAATTTTCATGTTACTTGAAGGTGCTGGAGAATTTACAGGATGTGTCAAAGCAAGCAGGGGTCCTTGCCCCAGAGTACACAGGGACTTGCCTACCGGATATGGAGAGACACAGCGAGTTAGTAAGTCTCTTGCCTTGCTAGAGAACATGGATTAAGGAACTAGAGGCAAAATAACTACTCTTTATAGCCTGCCAATTAACATAAGAGAACAGAGGGCTCATGAACCTGATTTCAGGCATTGCCAAGGAAACAGCCATTTGTGCTGAAGACACAATACCAGGGAAAATGTCACATTTGAGCAGAGAGATGATAGTTCCAGAACCCACCTGTGTTGGATGGAGTGAAGCCTGGCAAGGATGGGCTGTTGAGGCCTGGGAGCAAGACTGGAGGGATGCCCTGTAGTGCTGGGTACGCAGTAGGAAGGTTAAGAGCTTGTAGAGGGGTATTATCAAACATGCCCTGCTGTTGAGCTGCCAGACCAAGAACCTCATTGGCTTTTTTGATCCGGTCCAACTCCTGCTGAGCCATCAACTGACGTACAGTAGCGGGGTCAAAGTACTCTTTCTCCTTATCCAACTGGCTTCCAATGGTGTCTTTAACTTTGGAGATATGCTGTTGAGAGAAGATATGGTCACGTACAGACAGCCGAGCGCTGTACTTGATGCCACACAAAGTGCACTCTGTTTTGGGTCCCTCATAACTTGTTTGGTTTATACCAAAATGCTTGGCCATGCTTAGCTTGGACTTCTTCTCCTTTGCCCTAGCATTCTGGAACCAGACCTGAACAACTCTCTTTGGCAGTCCAATGTCATTACCTAGGACCTCACACTCCAGCATGGTAGGCGTCCTGTAGTCGTTAAAGCATGACTTTAGGACTTTTAGCTGGAGATTAGTCATCTGAGTGCGAAAGCGTTTCTGCCCTGGCCGATCCCCACTGTCTCCAGACTTGCCTGCTGAACCACTGGCACCAGGGCTGGGTGAGCAGGGGTCTGCAAGGCTGGAGGTTTCGCTATAGTCCACAGTACCTTCATTGTCATACTCTTTACTATAAAAGCTGGGAGCTGGGCTGACAAGGCCAGAAGACAATCGATCTTCATACTCAGACATTGCTATCATGGCAGCCTTTGTCAGGCCCTCACTAGGTCCTGATGTTGATTTGATTTCAGTTGCAATCCCCGTTGCACTATCATTGTCTGCATTGCCTTCATCTCCTGTTGTAGTGTCTGTGATTGCAGTGTTGACTGAAGAGCAGTCATCATTGTCCAACTTTGCTTGGTCAAAACTCAGATTAACTGAGGATATGGAGGGGCTTTCAAAGTCTTCTATTCCTTCCACTTTAATGGAGGACGGACTAAGCAGAGTTCGAGGTGAGAGCTCCATAGTTTTGCTTGCTGGTGAAAGAGGAATACCCTGACCATCACTACTGGTTGGTGGCAAGTGGGAAAAGCTTGCTCCATCAAAAATGTCCCCCTTCATTTGGAGTCCTCCATCACAATCCAAGAGCATAGCAGACAAAGTCAAGTTGTACCCAGCTCTCTTAGCCTCGTGCCAATGACGGGATCGGATATGAGCTTCCAGAGCCGTCTTTGCTTTAAAGAGAGCTCTGCAGAAAGGACACCGTCTATGGGCTTGGGCAGGACCCACAGCTCTAAACTGCCCTTTCCTTTCCCGTGCTCGAGTGTTCTGAAACCAAACCTGCACAACACGTTTCTTCAAGCCCACCTCATGCGCAATGTGATCCAACATCTTCCGTGTTGGGTTAGAGTCGAGCAGGTACTTTTGGTACAGAATTTCCAGCTGTTCTGGGGTAATAGTTGTCCTTAGACGCTTATCTCTCTGAGGTTCTTCTCCGCCAGTCCCACTGTCATTTTCCCCAGGGCTTGCACTGGCCTTTTCCTCCAGCTTTCTCTTCAGAGTGTTCATTGTAGATGTTGGGGTTGAGGGTGAAGTGGCTGAGCTTGCTGGAATCTGAGGTAGAGTTCCAGATAGCAGCTGGCTTGCAAGTAGTGGATTACTGGGGTCAAAAAGCATGAAAGGCATATCTAGCGTCCTATCCAGAAACTGCGGATGGATAAACTGATTTTGTGCACTCAAAAAATGAAGCTGCTGATGCTCCTGCCAATGCTCAAAGGAGGGAAATGCCAGTTTACATTGGTCACACTGGTACGGGATTAATTGAGGAGGTAGGTTTGCTAGTTGTTGCGGGGTGGACGTATGAAGGGGCTTGAGGGAAAGATGTGAGAGTTGAGATGGACTTGGGCTTGATTGTGGCAAAGGACACTGGGGTGGTTGTGCCTGTGGCGGAGGCTGTTGTTGTAATGAGGATGGGGGGGATAATGGTGAGATCTTTTGGTGTGTTGAACTTGTCTTCTGTTCTCCTTGGTCTTGCTGCTGCTGAGGCTCTTGCTTTGGTTGCACTTGCTTGTCTTGAGTTTGGTTTTGCTGTGTACTTGGAGGTTCAGATTGCTTTGGTTTCTCATCTGTAGCTTCTATTTTAGAACTATACACGGAGGAGTCATCTGCCTCAGCTGTGAGCTGCAAGAAGGCTGAAGAGGTTGCATTAGCTGAGGATGTGGGGGTGCTGTAAGCTTGAGAGGGCATTGGTGTGCTGCAGGAGGAACTGGTTGGCGTCAATAGCTCCATTGCATCCATAGAGTCTTCATTCTGGCTATCATCCTGTCCATCCTCATCCTCATCCTTATAACAAAGCTTTTTCTGGTGTTTGATAAGATCAAAAATGCGCTGAAAGACAAGACTACATTTTTTGCACTGGTAGTTTAAGTTGCTCGTTCGAATGTACCTGTCATTTGTAAGCTCCCGCCGTTCTCCATCTTTGCCTTCTCCTTGGTTCTCATAGTTTTTCCTAGCTTTCTGACGGGCGTTCTGGAACCACACCACTATAACCCGTGTAGGGAGGTTCAGCAAATTAGAAAGTTGTTCAAATTCATCATCCTTTGGATAAGCATTAGCATCAAAAAAGTCCTGCAGGACTCTGAGCTGGTAATCGGTAAACCGTGTCCTGGAGGACCTCTTGCTTCCCCAGTATTCGTGCTTTTGAGGTTCTGGAGAGGGAGGCCGTGAGTCTATCTTCAGTTCTTCCAGGCTGGTAATTGGAGGATTGCTGAAGTTGTATGGGGAATCCTTGTTGCGCTGGCGTTCTTTGAACAGAGTGTTTCTAAACCAGTGTTTTATCACTTTCTGTGGCAGTCCAGACTTGTCTGCCATCTCTTTGATCTGTTCCTCACTGGGAGAGTTGTTGATATCAAAATACTGCCGAAGAACTCTGAGCTGGTCATCTGTGATCCGAGTACGTGGCCTCTTGTTCTGCTGTTGCTGTAGAAGGCTAGGGTTGAGCTGATGTTGATACAGCTGAGCCAGGTCCGCAGGTAGAGAGTCTACAGGACCAAGCTGAGGTGGTAACTGGGCAGGTAATGTTTGTAGTGGCATAGTTTGCATCATAAGTGGTGAAAAGATGGGCAGCTCCATTGGCATAGAGAGCTGGGTGAGTGGCACAGATGGCTGGGCTGGTGCAATTGTAGGAGAAGTAATAGGTGGAGCAGAAGTAGGAATGGCAGGAGTGGAAGCTGGCTGAGGAGGTGCTGTAGGGAGTGGAGGTGGAGGTGGAGGAGGAGGTGGAGGTGGCTCTGGAGTCTGAGGTCTCAGTGGATACAGTTTATCATAGTGCTCTCTGTACTGCTTGGCAAACCTCTCCAGCTGCTTAAAAGGGAAGTAGTGTTGGTGAACGTGCTCTTGGTGACTCTTTAGAATGAGGATGTTTGAGAAAAACTTGCCACATGTGTCACATTCAAGCTTTTCCAAGTTCTCACCCTGCTCTGTCTTCCCATTTTTCTTTTGCACCTTCTGCTTGTTCTCGTTGTACTGAATAACCAGCTCAAAGCCAAAGTTTTCTAGCAAGGCTTTTGTGGCATTGCCTCTTGCATCAGATGCGATACGTGGAGGAAGTAGGGAGGGTTCTGAACTATTGCCTGGGGCAAAGTCTTTCTTGTCTTTGGGCTTTAGGTTGTCAGGCAGAGACTCTTTAGACAATAAACTGCTGTCTCCCCTCTCTGCATTTTCCCTTTCCCTCTGAGTTTCTTTTTCCTTCTCCTTAATAACGGATTTGTTTTTTTTCTCGTGATGCTGGCTCTGTTGTATATGGACAGAGTGAGACTGTGACAAAGATAGTTGGCCTTGCTGCTGTTGCAATATCTGTGTATGGCTCTGCTGTGGGAGCTGAACTTGAGCCTTTAAATCTTCCAGCAAATTTGGACCAGTACCAGATAGTGTCAGAGCACCACTGGTCACAGGTAAGCTAACTTCTGGATTGAGCTGGAACTCAGCACTGGGGATGTAAAATGGAAACAGAAGATGCTGCTGTTGCTGAAGCTGGAGTAGGGTTTCTGTGGTCATGGGGAAATGTGGTAAGAGAGCAGGGTTGAACAGCTGAGACTGCAGGAGGGCAGCTTGCTGCTGCAGCTCTTGCTGGAGGTGGGCCTGGACTTGGGCTTGCGCCTGTGCTAAGGTCTGAGCTTGCTGCTGCTGCTGCTGCTGCCTGGATGCAATCATGTCAGCCAGTTTCTTCCGGTTGACGTCCTTAGGCTCGGAAGGGGAGGCGATGTTCGCACTAACGGGGTTACTCGACGGTGCGATTCCCACACTCTCACCGGATCCCTGCTTGAGTGAACCAGGGATGGGAGCTGGGCCAGCGCTGCTGGTGTTGGCGGCTGTGAAGGTATTAGAGCTGCTAGCACCCACTGGACTTGGTGTGGACGAACCCAGAGAGATGCTGTTGCTGCTGCCAGTTCCGTTACCACTGCCACCGCCACTAGCTGCCTCCAGCTTGGCAGCTCGAGCCTTTGTCTGGTGCAAGACAGACCTCATGTGGATCTCCAGCGTAGAACTCTGGCTGTAGGCCACATTGCAAGTGTTGCACTTAAAAGGTTTGTTGTCTGGACTGCTGGTAGGTTCAGGTTGCCCAGTAGCAGACTCCTGAAGGGCTCTTTTCAGTTTATGCAGATGAGAGACTGAATTGTAATGGACCAAAAGAATGTTCTTTTGTGTGAAAGATTCTTTGCAGACTGTGCACTTGTATGGGCGAGATGGGTCGAGAAATTTCTCCATGGTGAAATTAGGACCTTTTCTGAAAGGTAGGGCCCTCTTAGGTTCCAAGCCACAGTCTTCTTGTACTGACCCAGAATCACTGCCAGTAGGACTCTGTTTATCTTCTAGGTCACTCTCTTCCTCTTTATCATCTTCAACAATGATAGTATGGTCATCAGCCAGCGAAGGATCACCCATAGCTAGGAGGTCTCCATTGACCAAAAGCCCACTGTAAAGCTGCTGAATGTCTGCTTCACTCAACTCCAGATGACTTGTCTCCAGGTGCTTCTTCAGAGCTTGGAAGGTTCGGAAACTGCGTTGGCAAAGACAACACATAGTAGCTGCTCTGATTACATGGTACTGAGAATGAAGCTGCAGCTTCTCGATGGTTTTGAAGGCCAGGCTGCACTGGTTGCAACGGTACTTGTAGACGTGGCGATCGGATACTGGCAGTTGGGGCCGTTTAGCATGAACTTCATTGAAATGCGTCTGAAGGGCCGCTGAGCTTTTGAACACCTGGCTGCACCCCTTCTTCCAGCAAAGAAAGCCAGAGTCCTCTCTGGTGGAGCTCTGATCGGCAGGAACAGGTTTGGACTCTCCACTGTGCTCTATGCTCTCAGATGACAGGAGGCCTTTTCCTGAGTCCTCAGAGGTCTCTGAAAACAGAACCGGAATAAAAAGGGTGAAGTGATGCAAGGAAGATACAGTTTAGACAGGACTTGTCTCTGTCACTCATTTACAATTTAAATAAAAATATAAATCATTATTCATTTCTTAATTTACATCTGATCCAGTACTTCCTCCCCCGGCCACAAACAGCGTCATTTTCCTTCACCACTACTTCTGCTGAGGCTGTTACTTCTCACCAAGTATTTAGTTAGCCCCCCCGCTGCCCAAGATTACCACAGCCCATGATGTAGCTCAACGGCCCTCTCATAAAACATACCTTCCCCTTCTGTAAGCAGGCTACTGCCCCATAAGAGTGTGTGGCCATTCCTTCCCATCAGTCTCAGAGCGAGGCCATGCCTCCTCGCTACATGCCGGCACATTATCTTTAGTGCAGAAGGACAGACGTTCCCCCTAATATTCAGCCTAAATTTTCACTTTCTTAACTTCACCTCATTATACATGTTATGCCCCACTGCACAACCCTAAATAAATTTTTCTTCCTCCTTGACTTTTACACCTTTTGACTATCTGTGGACTGCACACATCTCCCACATGATGGTTGTTCAAACAAGCCGGGCATATTTACCACCCTTTAATTCCTCCCCAAATTAAACCCTGTGGTCCCATAACTATCTTTGTTACTTTTCCTTGCTGTCCCGTCAGCTTGTCAAAGTCTTGCTGATAATGATGTGCCAAGAACTAAACATACATTGAGGCTCAGGTCCACTAACGCTGCAAAGAAAGAGTGAAATTCAGCCCCTGCTGTTCCCGACTCCACTGAAGGCTGCTATGCCCCAGGAGAACTCAGCCTTTTGGGGAAGGGCAAGCAACCGTTCCACTGCCATCTTTCCTCCAGGTTCTACCCAAGAGAGAAGAAGAGTTCTAGCAGGGGAGAGATACTCCTATTGGTGGAAGCTGAGGAGGGGATTTGAGGAATCAGCACATCTCCAGCAGCCCAAGCCATGCCATTGGTGTCCTCTCTGGAACGGTGCCGTTCACATGCAAGCCCTGTGCAGAAAGGAGGTGGTGGTTGTCTTAATCCCAAACTTCCTTATAGGGCTCTCCCACTGTGGTCCCTGCACCAGGCTCGACACTGACAGAATCCGACCTAGAGACTATCACCTCCCCATTTGGAGACTAGGGGCCTCACCTATGTACCCAAAACTGTAGTGTCCTTTTTTTGCTGCCATATCACACTATAGTCAGGATTAAATAACTGACCACTGTTACTGGTAGGCATGACTTTACAACAATAACGTAATAAAAAAGGCCAATGTAATTTTGAGCTGCCTTGCTAACATGCCTCAACTGTGGTGTTACTTCAGTGAAATTAGCTGCTTCCTGTTAGATCTCCTGCTGTCTGCACTGGTCTTTGCAATGAATGATCTGTAGCAGAAACTGCATGGGCAAGGGATTGCAATGAGGCCTTTTTCTCTCAGTGCATGGGAAACAAGAAGCTGCTACAATTCAAAGCAGGATGATTTTTCCAGATAAGCGTTAAGTAACTGACCGGCCCGCTTCCCCGGCTCGTCGGCATTGGAGTTTCCATCTCTGTCTGGAGCGGCTGCTGGGAGAAACATACTGCTGGGCATCATCCCTTCCGGTGTTGTCACCTGAGGGCGGCAGGACGGTGGGGAAAATGGGAGAGAGGAGAAATAAAAACAGAAAAATATTTTTAAAATCTTTCAATAAGCAAAATCAGACATCAGCAGAGGTGTCACTTTTCTTAGCTCACTGAAGATTCGTGTTTATTAGACAAAGCTCACATCAGTCAAAAGTGTTTCTACAGTTACATTCTGGACATAATTAGCACTGCACACTAGAAGAATCATCGTATTAATATTTTTCCTTTATGTAGAATTCAGACTTTGATCACTGACAATGTTTTGTCATGGGCTGTGAAACTTCTTGTGCAACCAATTAGGTAGAGAAGTTGAAAGGCCCACCTTAAGCTACTGAAAACATAATAAGGCCCTAATTAAATCACACCTATAAAGTACACTGTAATCTTGAACTAGGGAGCACTACAGCACTATTTTCAAAGTGTATTGATGCAAAAAAAGGAAGGGCACAAGAAAGAAGAGTACAATTAAAGAGAGGTGACGAGAAGGGATGAATAAAGAAAGAGGGAAAAGAGATGGCAAACTGTCTGAAAAACAAAGCTGTTCTGACTGTTGGAAAGAAAACAAGCGTTCACTCTGGCTCGCTTCAAAATTCCGTTTGCAATCAGTTGTGCTATCACCAGCCCAAGACTCGAAAGCCATGATTTTTACAAGCAACTAGTGATTCTGGATAGCTCAATTTTTGGGAGCCCGATTTGAGACACTTCAAAAGAAGCTTGGGTTTTGGGCTCTGCACTTTCATAAGATCAGGCCCCCATAAAGTAACTGAAAGTTGGGCATTCAAAATCACTAGTTACTTTTGACAGTTTTGACCAAAATGACTAGGGCTTTGACCAGTGTTTAACATCAGGCGTGCAGCAACAAAACCCTATGTAACTCTGAGCACCACACGCATAGCATCTTAACGGCTGCTCTTCAACAGATGCTCCCCAACACAGTAGCTCAGGAAACCACTCAAGACCATTGTTCCCACTAGTGTTATCTCATAACACAGCCACATGCAGGAGCTCACCCCATAAACAAGTGCTTGATGTTCGTTCTGCTGCTTTGATTGTCTGTGAGCACCTCTCACCTAGATGCTAAAAGGAACATCCTTACCATGCCCTGAGTTCTTAGTGATTGAGGGAGCAGCAAACCCAAACTGACTCACAGTGTGGTGCTCCGACAGTGCCCTTTTCCAGTCACTGACTGCTGGGAGAGCATGGCATGCTGGACACTGCGCTAACCTGTCACGTTCTCTAGTGAAGTTACAAAAGGCTCCCCTTCAGGCCAGGCAGAGGAATGGATTGATCCTTGCATTTCATGGCAGAACAAATGACGTGATTACGTTCATACAGTTCTGCTACCTACCTTCTTCTAAGTGAACTTAAGTCAAAGGCCACAAGGTGCATGTGGGATGACTAATGAAATGCTAGCAACATCTGTGACCAAGGTCTAGCTGAAATACGTGAACCCTAAATAGGACATGATGTCTTCCTCACTGGCACTAATGTAAAGCCTACACAGCATGAGTAGGGAAACAGGGTGTGGTCCAGCCATGCTCAGGTTCATGGGGAGCAGGAGCACGTACACGGACAGCCTCAAATGAAGATTTGATTGTGAGAGATCTCGGATGTCTGACAGCAGAGGGAAGGGATGCTGTGACTGCTCTGGTCACTCACAGAGCTGTGCAAGATGGGCGGTGCTTCATTTGTAATGAAAGAGGTGCTAGAGCTCAAGTGATTTTTTACTTTGGTAACTGACACAGCAAGCCCAGAGGTGCCGGGGCTCTGAACTGCCAAGCCTAGCAGTTACAGGACTCAGCCCTGGCACAAATTAAGCACTGACGGTGAGTGTGAGACAGACACAGCATTTGTGTTTTACAGACATCTATACCCTGTAAAGGCAGCTGCAACTGACAAAGCACTAGGAAAGGGGCGGAGAATGCCAAACTCATTCCACCTTTTATTCCAAAGCAGAACGTTTCTGAAGGATATGGTTGGTGAGTCCAGAGGGAATGCAAGAAGTGAAAGGTCACCGATTAATTCATAGTAACCAGACTCAGAGGAGGGGGAATGAGGTGGGAAGCAGAGGAGGAAAGAAAGCAATGTCCCTCTTCATTTTATCAGCAGGGAAAGTGCTTTCCCAGGATCTTTAGGAATTATGAAAAATAAATAACGAGAAATTAAAAAAAACCCCACAGAGTAGAAAAAGAATAAAATTATCTAACACCTCAGTAGCACATCATTATAGAAAACTGTGGGCTTTTTATACATGTTACAGTAAGGCAGTCATCCCCACTAACAGACTCAGTACGATGGATCAGTAATTGTTTTCATACACTTTAATTAGAAAAACTCAGATGGCTATGAATAATAATGGAAAAGAGAGACTTTTGCACTTGAAAGGTTGAAGTCAATCAAGTGTGAATGACGGCAAAAAGGAAAAAAATAAAGACACCAATTCATCAGGGCTCTGTTGTCTCGCCGCGTCTTTAATCATAATTCCTGATTGGGATTCAAGAAGGCAGTAAGCAGAGTTTCTTTGTCTGCCTTCACCTTCTGTCAATTAACTCACCCCGAAATATAATCATCAACCTCACATGCGCCTCTGCATCTTAATCGGGGCCTCCAAACCAAGAAGTCCTGCCCCTATATGTGCTTAAGTAATTACCTTTACCTACCTGCATCTCCACAGCCTCAGTTCTCCCCCCTTCTCCCTCTTTCCTCCCCCCACACCCAGAAAGGGCTTTGGTACAGGAAATTGTTATAAGGCAGAAAATTCCCAGAGGGAACTGGGACAAAGCCAGAAGGGCAGGAAGTGAGAAATTGTGTGCATCTGTGTATTCAGGACAACTGCAGGCTCTCCCAAAAAGCTATGCATGGGAGCCACTGGCAAGTGAAACCCTGAATGCAAAGCTCTATGCTTGGCTCATTGCCTGATCTCTCCACCTCTCAGTCATTTGCCAGCTCAGCCTTCTTGATATGCAGTCCTCTTTGCTGTAGCCATCTTCCTGGTGGGGGCCTTCCCCCTCCCACACCCAGTGTCTCTCCCAGGGGGAGTTGCCTGACCACTCATCAACCTGATCACTTGGCATATATGCTGTGTCCCAAGCCCCCATCTTCATCTGTTTTATCTTTTCACACAGTAAACTCTTTGGGGCAGGGACTATGGCTTCCTGTGCATGCACAGAGGGCCTGGCCCACTCTGGTGATTTCGCAATACAAATAAATAATCAGAGTATAAGGTGAAAAGGAAGGCACTGAATGCTGGTGGCCAATCACAGATCACCAGGTAAATGATATTATTTGATACTGTTTATGCTTATGTCTGTATTTAAATGGTGTAACTGTCATGGGTGGACGGGCGGTGGAGGGTTGAGTCTTGTAGGGGAAGTTAACTTATGTGCAAGTTTCATGTGATCATATGTGGTCACTTCTCATTCAGCTTGTCCAGCAATAGCTGGGAACGAATGCAAGCCCCAAACTCCTAAATGCTTGTATTTCCTCATTCAAGTTTCTCTAGTGCGTCCACAACACCAACATCATATGCACCAGTATGAAGGTATGAAAACAACCCTAAGGTATGTATACAATTGCAATGCGTCACTGTGTCAGCTTGCTCCTGTAACCCTAGACCTGAGTTATTCTGTGTACTGGGGCAGCGCCGAGGAGCTCTAGCCGTGACCCCCATGGAGCTAGGGCCTGTACGAACACAGAACAAAGAGATGGTCCGTGCCCCAAAGAGCTCACAATCTCCCTCTATCACTTCCCTTTTGTTTCTTAGCCATACTCACTGCACCATGTTCAAATCAGATTGTCATCCCCTAGGGGCTAGAGTCACATTGTTCTATCTGGGCTGAAAGTCACCTAGCATGTTTCAGCTCTAGAAAATAATTATTTATTTCACTCTCAGAGTTTCTAACCGGCCCATCCCCATAGTATGTAGGCATGTGTCCAAAGGGACCATACGCTAGCACTTCCTGGCTCTCTTGTAAGTCATCCTTCTACACAATGTTATTGTGTAGGCTATGAATGGTATCACCTACATAGGAAATGTATACCCAGTACTATCAGACCTTAGTATGTTTCCTTCCTGTCCGAGCAATGTCTCTTATGCAGTATCCTGCTGCCCCAAGATGAAATTAGCTAGTGAGTATTTATGCTAGGGGTGAAGTGGTCCCTGGTCTTCGTAGATGCTGAGCGCCCACAACTCCAGTTGAAGCCAATGGAAGCTACGGGTGCTCAGCCTCTCTAGAAAGCAGGCTCCAGTACGTGTACCTGGTACCCCAAATCAGTGGCCATTTTTGGAAAATTTGGCCCAACTGCTCAGTGTTACAAAGTGAGCAGAAATTGAACACAGATCTCCTCTCTCCTTGTCCTGTTTGTCTCCCTTAAGACTGCCCTCTCTCACAGAGACTAAGCTCAAGCGCTCATCCTCAAGCGAAAATGAGTTTGCTGCTATTTTTGAAAAGGACTCCGTAAGCTGCTTCCTCAGAGGAGACAGTCCAAAATGGCTGAGAGAAACATGATCCTTCGGTGTGGGAATCCTGCTGAAACTGGGCCACACCCACACTCTTCAAGTGACAGCACCGGAGAGCCTGTTAGAAGAGCTGAATGTAACAGTTCAGGGGCTGGAAAAGGGGCTCGGTACAATCTCCACTCTGCCAGCAATGCTGGGCTCTGTAAATGGCTGTTCATCCCTGTTCTCTCATTTCCCTTGCCCCATTTCCACACACCACACCCTTTTCTAAGCCTTAGCAAAGCTTATAGTTGGGGTAACCATCTGTATGGAGGTTCTCATCTTGGCCAGTCTCCTCTATTCTGACCCTAGGAGCATAACATGGGTTTTGGACACATCAAAGCCACGTACTGACCTTTGGACAATGACAAGAGATCAATATTCTATACATTAGCTCAGCCTTCTCCCACTGGCTGCCTCTGCCTGTCTGGGATGCGGGGCCAATCCCATGTAAGTTCTAGGTAGCTCTTCATGAGCTCCCCCAACATGGCCAAAATAAATTAGATTTAAAAATAACCTCTCTAGCAATGGTCTGAGGAGCTACATTAATACCCCCTCTGTCCATGCAGGGGGGAATGCACATACAATGCAAGGTCCCCGAACCAGACAAAGGAGGGAATTTCCATTACAAAGACAGAGAGGGGGCTGGAGTGAAAAGCTTCATTAGACTCAGACAGGCAAAGCGATGGCAGTATACCAAGGTCACTTCTAATTTAGACCATCTAATTGGCAAACATGGCTCCAAATGGCTATCATCTCACAGGGCTCAGAATTAATGAAGCCCGATTATTTTCATTACCTTCATCCGAGATGGAGAACGAGACACAGAGTGAGAAAGAGAAGGGGGGAGGGAAAGGGGGTGAGAGGGAGGAGAGAAAAACTGACTGACAGCAGAAGGCAGAGAGCAGTAAGAAGAGACAATAGAAAAGTAGAAAAGAATGTAAAGATAGTGAGAGAGGAGAGAGGATGGCAGAGACAGGAAAGAATTACTCTGGGAGCAAGAGAGAAACGAAAAAGATGAAAAGACAGCTGGCGACAGGAAACCCTGGAAGGACACCTTGAACACGGGACAAGAAAACTGACTACAGAATGAAATGGAGGGGCAGAGGAATTTATGGAAAGATAAAGGATGCTGAGAGGGAGGCAGGAGAATTCCCCATTACTGGAGGCTGCCTGGGAAGCAGTCCCTTCTCCTATTTCGAGCCCATCAATCTTGTCAATTGACTATGGAAGTGAACTGCACTTCACCCTCATTAAGGAGCTCTCGGCCAAAGTGGTGCAGGTCCAGGACTAGTGAAGTGGCTGTTGTGTGGAAAGACAACTAGACTAGTTTAGAGCAGATGAAATACCATATAAAACAAATTTTAACACATTTATTTACCAGCGTAATCAAGTGGCAGCAGCAGAAGACTGGTGCGAACGAACTGGGGCTTCATGGAATGTTGCCTTCAGCTGTCAGGGTATCTTGGGAGCTTCACTTACTGTATATAAACCCTCTATGTCATGTCTTCCCAGTCCATTAGATGCTGGAGTTGCTGCACATGTGCCTTTGGGCTCTGGGACCTCGACATACCAATCACACACGTTTCTCTCTCACCCCACCATTGATGGACTAGCAGAGTCTTGAGAGGGTCAGGTCTCAGAAAGGAGGGCTAGTGCTCTGGCTATTCCCAGCAGGACAGCCACCCAGACTGCTTGTTGATATGAACGGAAGAGGGGCAAGAAACACACAGATATGAGATGGAGCATAAGCAAGCAGCTGTTACTATGGCAACAGACATATTAGACACTGCAGGTTCCTGAAAGGCGTCTGATAAGGTATTATTAACTTGAGCCTCCTTCAAATACTGAACGCAAAGACATCGTGTCAAAAGCAACCTGGCTCCCATTTATTGGGCTGCAATTCACTTATAGTGCATGAACTGGGTCTCGGTGCCTTCAGACTTGAGACAGGAATCTTGGCTGGAATGAGCAAAATTAGGAACTTAGGGTGTTTCTGTGTCCACCACAAATGGTTGTTTCTTTTATTTTTCTAAAAAACATGTTTGCCATTTAAAGCAAAAGGAAAATATCTGCTTGGCCCCCTTCTGCTTTATTCAAAGCACTGAGACCATCCCTCTTCCCCAGGTGTTATTTCCCCAACACCAAAGAGAAAAGCAGCCCAGGCTTCATGGATGTGACCAAAGAAACAAGTAATGGGACAGGGCTCATAGGAGACTCCCATCCTTTCTGATGGGATTTCTGATCTCAGCAGAAGGCTGGAGCACTCCAGGTGCCCTGGGCCGGGGTTGTTAAACTACTGGGTGAGTGAGCTCTTGATCACACACAGAAGGTGCACCAATCTAACTAAATTGCTTGCACTTAAATGGCCTGAAGAATTCCGTATATCGATTTAAATAAGGCATTCTTAACCATGACAGAGTGCCCACCCAAGAGGCTATACCAATTTAACCACATCAGTTTCTAAACCAGTTTAGGTAAACTGGTACAACTTGTATGTTTAGACAAGGCCTCATACACTGACCCCATTTCTCTAGGCTATAACAATGGAGAGCACTCTGTGCAGACCGGGGACTCCCACTTGTATGGCAGAAGCTCTATTGCTACTCACTGCTCTCACATTTCTCTTCATCATAGGGACCAAATATTTTCATCTTGTGTTTGACTCTAAGCTGCCTTAGAATCTCAGTTCTTTGGGACAGTCCTTGACTATAAATGTGTACAATGGCCCAGTACGACAGATCTTTGTCCCTGTTTGGGGCCTCTGAGGGTGTGTCTACGCTGCAATTAGACACCCGTAGGCTTGCGGGGCTCAGGCTACAGGGCTGTTTAATTGTGGTGCAGGAGTTTGGGCTCAGGCTGAAGCCTGAGCATTGGGACTGCATGAAGGGGGAGGGTCCTAGAGATTGAACCTGAACGTCTACACTGCAATTAAACAGCTCCTTAGCCCAAGCCCCATGAGTCTGAGTCAGCTGGCACGAGCCAGCTACAGCTTTTAATTGCAGTGTAGACATATCTTGAGTGCTATAAATGTTAGCTAACTAACATGTTCTCTTCCCAAAGCCCCCTGGTATTTTTGTATTGTTTATTGTTTTCACTGAGGACAGAAGTATCCGAATTTGGCATTTACTGGGGAGCAGTAATGGGACCTGTCAACACTGTTAGAGGTTGATGTGTTCCAGGATCATGGCTCCCACACTGTGGTGCACGGATCTCTCCCAGATGTTCCTGGACAGCGCTGATTGCCAGGTACAGCATCCCTTCTGGCATTTAATCAACCATCCTCCAGTGCGGAGCAGAGCATTTCTTCAGCCCATCTGGAGCCAGGCATGGCAGAGGAAGGGGGATATGGCAGCAGACTTGGAAGGACAAGAAACTGGGGGGGAAAGCAGCAGAGGGAAAGAGAAATCTGACAAGCAAAGAGGAAGGAGAGAAAAAGACAGAAAAAAAGGGGGAAAGAAGAAGACTGGTGCTGGAGCAAGATTATGTACTTTCACAAACAATGCCACCTAAGGAGAAACATGGACCACTGGACATTTTTTCTTGTGCCCTGATACACATGGATTGAGACGCTGGAAAGACAGGTGAGCCCACAAGATTATTTGTATTTATTTGTATTGTCGCAGTGCTTAGAAGTCAAATTGTGCTAGGTGCTCCGCACAGACATCATAAAAGCAAGTCCCCGACCAGCCAGTCCATGACCAAGAGATTGTCGCTCATACAAAAAGCCTCTTCAGAATGATAGCTTGAGCACCGCAATGTTAGAAACATAATAAAAAGGACATTTCCCCATCATGCACTGTAACGATAATTTCCTTCTCAAATGAACTGGAGACAAAGAGAATGCTGGATAAAGGCTTCCATTAGAGACAGTGTTAGAACAGGACTCCCATGTTTGACACCTAGAGCAATGCTGTAGAAGGGGAAAAAAAGTTTGACACAAACATCTTGGTAATGAACCAGATTTAACTGATCTCAAGTTTTGCTACACCTACGGAGAAACTGCACTGGTGAAGATTGCGCAGCTGTGACTAAGGTGCAACCCACCTTGGAGAAACAATTACAAAAATGGATCTGTTTCTAACTACATGTTTCCATGGAAATATTTGGTATTATTTAGCAAATCTCCTCCATTTCAATGGCCTAAAGACCTTCCCACTTCAGAAAAGTTTAACTGACCATCCTTAAAGTTCAATTTAAAATGAGGCATTTCAAAACATTGTGACAGTGGCATTTTAAACAAGGGATTTACAGGATTCTACAGCCACACATTATCCATCTCACTCAGGCCAACTACACAATATCCACATGGTTGTTATAGTTGCCTTGAATAAAGTGATCTGTTACTTATAAAAAGTTACATTATCTCCGACTGGCTGATTTCTCACTGAAGGAACAGATCCTACTTCTACTCCCATTATGATGAGTGTCGACTTGATCTTTTGTAGTGACTTTAAAGGGTTAAGGGAGAACATGTTTACTGAATATTCTTCTCAGTATCTCCACAGGATAACTCTTTCTCCTGATTGTGCCGACCACCATGATACCCAAACCTTGGTATTCTGCAGCTAGGATAACATGGGGATGAGAAGAATCAAAGCAAGAGAAGTTCTTGTATGATCAGGGAGTGGGATCTTGGATCAGCAGGTTACATCAAAACTAGCCAGTGCCCATGGGCACAGGCAAGGTCCTTTCATTTATGCGAAGACAACTTCACTCTTGCTGGGAAGGCAAAAGGTGCACTTCAGCTCCCAGAGACTTACCGTCATGAGGAGTTTTTCCACACAGTCAGGCGACACACTGTGCAGGTGTGTGAGGTGCAGCTGCAGATGGATCTTGTTGTTGAGCATGTCCTGGCAGAGTGGGCAGCGGAGCATGGGCTGCACGGAGTGCTGGGTCATGGCATGCACCCGCAGCCGGTTCACATCGGTGTTACTGTATTTGCAGTATGGACACTGATACATCTGTAGAGAGAGATGAAACAAAACATGCTGACTGAATCATGTGACTGATACAATCACTGCTTGTATCCCCTCCTTCTTTACAGCTTGAATGTAATAATCTTGTGCCTTTGTCCTACCACTCAATCACCATCTTTTCATCAACTCTGCTTTTTCTCTCAACACCTGGGAAGTGAATTAACAGCCTCTAGATTTTTATGGCTGTCCAGGAAGTAATGCTGGGCTCCTGTGCCTCACCTGCTCTGATTTGGTCTCCTCTGAAGTTTTTGACCATTTAGAGGAGAGAGGTGACTCAGAGCTGCTGGGAAATGACATGCATTTGGAGGATGCTGGAGACTCTGTCAGCTCCTTGTCTGCCTGGCTGGCTGGTGCTGCAAAGACAAATGAGATTTGCATTAGGACATCCCCATCAGGCCAGCTCTAAAGGGGTTCATGCTGGATGAAAAGATCAGTAATTCCATTTGTGCTATTGTATTTTCTTGAAACAAACACAGACTAAGGATTTGAAGAGGAGAAACATCTGGGCCAAGTGACATCTTACTAAACAAGCTAGGGAGAAAGTAAGAGTTTCTCTCTCGATATCTGGCATTACTGGCAATAAGGAACCGTTACAAATCCATACAGTTACAAGCAGAAAAGCACACCCACTCACTCGGACTCCCCAGGTCAGCTTAAAAATCTAGTAGATGCAAGAGAGTCTTCTCCTGTGTTTACATGTGAGACCTGACCACTTGGCCATATGTCAGCGTTTGAGTGTCAGGATTCCCCCTCCTTCCAGGAAGAGTTGGCCATACAGAGGACAGTGCAGGATGACATTCCTACCCTGAGTGCAGAAAGGTTCATACACAGTGTGCTAAGCATTGTGAGGCATTCGTTCATTAAAGCCAGCCAAGGGCAGTGGTAGGTGCAACACAGAAGATTCACATCTGGGTCCTTGGCTCAGTCTCACTTTCCTAGACTGGCAGCAGCTGGGAGTTCAGAGTGTGGAATGCACTCAGCATTTGTGCAGAGGGCATGGCTGGTCTTATTTCCAGCAAGCAGTCCCACTGAAATCCCCAGGAAGTCTGGGGAACAGAGCCTGGCTTATGACCAGCGGTGGGACTGGCTCCGATATGGACACCAAGAATGGCTGTTTAGGCATAAACCTTAAACATGTAAATACCAAGCAATGGTATTCAAATTCAAATGTATACATAAAAGCAACAAAATCAGAGCTCAATGCAGAAAATATTCCAGGAAATTGATACTGTTCCCAGAATGCACATCCTATGACCTATAAACCCTGTATCTTGGTAACCTGGAGTACATAAGTTTGTAGGACATCTATTATTTAAAAACTAGAAAGCCAGGCATATTACACACAGCCCCCCCGAACACACATTCATAACAGTACTGTAATCTGTCTTGAATCGACTTCAAACCCATGTCACCCTTAATGGGAGTTATTCATTTTCACTTGAAAGACAACACATGACAGCTGGCTATTTAACAGGATAGACTGGCTGCTGATTAACCAGGTGCTGTAACGTTCTGAGACTGGCTCCCCCACAGCTTGTCTCCATCTCTTAGTCACACTGTGAACTGGATGCTGTGGAACCAGCCACACTTTACTTCAGAAGCTGCAGCCAGTGCATGGCTCAGATAGGTCACTCACACGCCAGAGACCCTTTCAAAGCTACCGAGATGGGATTTATTCAACAATGTGCCTTAAAATCGGAAATCCAATTCCCACATTTAACAATCCCCCAACACTAAGCATTCGTAAAATAAACAGAGTGCAAAACCACGTCCAAGAAAAGGGAGTCAGAGACACTATGAATGGACATAAAAGGACCTGGGCCATTCCTGTGGAAAGACGATTTGATTAATGTTGATGCTCCTGAATGTGTCCAAGGGATATAGTGGCGAGAGCCAGAATAGATGATTGGCAAGTTCTTCGTCACATGGCTCTGCTAATGCTCTTAATTCCTGTCCTGCAGAACCCCTGATATTTCAGTCCTGTGCTCCTACAGCGGTCTAATGCCCCAGTGTCAAATTTAAGCACATACCCCAAAAACATGTGTAGGATCCCATTGTACCACTAAGACCTTTGTGCTACTCAGTCTACTAGAAAAAGGCCAATCCTACAGCTTATTAGTGTAAAAGAAGTCAATTCTTTCATGGTAAATCTATAGACATCAGAATGCATCCACCATTGTCTTGTCCATGTGGCGAGATGAACTTTTATGTTTGAATCTAAAACCTCCCTGTGGATCCAAGATGGAGCTTCTTTAAAAAGATTTCTACAGAATTGAAGTTTACTCCCCCCCCCCTGCAAAAATCATCTCACAGTACAAATAGAGCATCAGGGCTGTGGGTGAAGATTACTACCTACCCCCCCCCCATGGGAAACAGCCCTCTAGAGCGGATTCATGGTGCGATAAGAGAATAGCAGTGACCCGGCTGTGCTTCACGAGCCCCCACTCTACCAGTAAGAGTAAGAAGAATTCCTAGCAAGAACTCCTTCGCTGTGGCTGGTGGAGGATGATCCGGTGCTAAACTGCCTCGGTGGGTCCCTGTGTGACATGAGGAGAGTGGCCCCAATAAGGAGGTTACCTACTGCTGCTGTTGTCCACCCCTCAGTATGACCGCAGACACTGAAATGCCAGCCACGACCGGGAAGTCAGGCCCAGGCCCCGAGCTCTGTCTGCGTGTGGCCAGCAGTACAAGCAGCACTGCTGTCCCTACTCACAGGGACCTGAATCACAGAGCCCTACAGGATTTAGGGTCCCCTGCCAGGGCCAGATTTCCAGTTAGGCACATGCCTAGGGGTGCCAGCGTTCTAGGGGTGCCTAAAAATGCAAAGTTTGCTGTTCCCAGGTCCCGGCAGGGGGTGGGGCCAGCTGAAGGGGAGATGGCCCCACGCAACCCTGCTGGGGCGCTTCTACCAGCAGGGAAGGGGAAGCAGGCCCCTGTTGCAGGGGAAGAGCTCAGCAGCCCAACAGAGGGGCCCTGCCGGGCAAGCACGACCTGAGGGAGCCTGGCCTGGGCAGGTCTTGCTCCTGCTCCAGCCTGGCTGATCGGGCCACGCCTGAGGGGCCAGAGCGATCAGCCCGGCAGACACAGTCACCTCCAAGTGGGGCTGGTGAGTGCGGACGGAGGCCAGGGAGCAGGGGAGTGGGGCTTGGGGAGGTGCGCTGGGCAGTGGAGGGTGCTTGTGTGTGTTGGGGCAGTGGGGTATCTGTGTGGGGCCCTGGGTAGTTGTGGTGTTGGGGCTGTGCAGGGGACGCTGGGCATGGCGGGGGGGGGAGGTCAGTGGGCAGGGGGTGCTGAGTAGTGGTGTGCAAAGTGCTGTGCCGTTGTGGCGGAAGAAGTCTGTGGAGGGGTCTCTGGGTGGGGTATGTGCTGAAGATGCTGCGCCTAGGGGCATGTAAGGTGTAAATCTGGCCCTGTCCCCTTGCACTGACTGTAATTAGGTCTCCAGTGTGGTTTGGGGAGGGACTCTCTGGGCTCTATCAACTTTCACTTCAACCCTTGAACTACTATTAGTTGAGTGCAACAGGCATCCAGTGATTCTTCTCCTGCGGTGTTTATGGCAGAAAGAGTCCCTACAGGATAGAAACTCCCCTTCCAAGATTTATTATCTATCAGTTTAACCACCTGTTTCATATATATCAAATGTAAAAATATACATGCAGGAGATGGATGTTCTCATGGACACAATGTGGACACGTAACCGTAATTAAACACGAAAGCCTGTTTTAAAGTCTATCTTTAACCCATAAAAACCCAAACCAAAACCAATGCTTTATTTACCCAAGTCTCCAAAGCTTTCCATGGCACCCCCTATTGTGCCCTGCTATTGCCACTCAGCTGGTACCTTCGGTATGTCACATTAGACTAGCCTGAGGCTCCCAAGGTGAGGTCAGGATGAACATTCCCAGAATTTGTTGGTCGAAATCAGACTTATCACCATGATCTTCATGACACCTCTTGTAGGTAAAGAGGAGCATAAAAACCAGAATAAGTCCTTTACCGAAAACATAAGTTTCTAGTTTTCACTCAATGGAATGAACTGTGATCAACACATTGCAGAAGACATTCAGTGAGCAGGGACTGGCTTTGAGAGGGTGACTAATGTGACATCTTATCTCATGTCACAAAACTCCCACTGAATTATCAGAATTATTTTTTGAAATAATCTTCTGTGCTTAGAATCTACTGGGGTCTCTTCTTTGAGAAACATGCAGGAGAACGTATCTGTGTAACTTCCGGTGAGTGTTATTGTGAGTTGTGTATGGAAGTCACCTGCATAGTGACAAGGGAAAATAAATATGCTGTCATACAGTAAATGATTCAAGCCATTACTGGGAATGTGCCACAGTCAATTTCCAAGGTAAAGAACTCAAATGCTTTATGGTTTTGGAAACAAAGCACTAAGGACCTACTTAATTTTGTCAATAAAATAAAATAAAATAAAAATAAATAAATAAATAAAAAAATCAAACCTTATAGCTAATGTGTGGGGAAAATAATCTTTGGAAACTTCCAAAAATATCATCTTCTCTTCCACAGTCATAAGATTTGGTGTAATCCATGGCAGATTAGAGCAATTAACTCCAGAAATCCTGGGTTCTTATACCTTGGCTATGCCACCGACACTCACACCTTGGGAAGCTCACCTGCATTTTCTGAGGCGGACTCTAATTTTGGGAGCCCAGCTTCAGACAATGGGGGCTTGTTTTCAGAGGTGCTGAGTGCTGGCATGTCTCAGATGTCAGTCGGCACTGTGGATGCTCGGCTGCTCTGAACATCAGACCATGGGTGTTTGAAGCACCCTAAATTAGTGCACACTTTTGAAAACAGAACCTGGGCTGTTAAGGCAGCTCTGCACTGTCTGCAGCTACAAAACTGCCCTAACAAGCGTAGCCAGCTTCTGAAGAACCCTTCGTACATAGGGGGATCCTCAGGTGACATAGGAGCTGCCCCCACTAACCTTCCCACTATTGCTGATGCTGAGTGCATGGCCAGGTGTGGCTCGGGCATCCCTGGGTTTTGGTGACCTCTGTCTTCCATAATGGGTCCCTGGAGCCACAGGCAGTCAGCACAAGATATAGCAACATTTCAGACCACTATCTTCAGCTGGGGAACCATCCTGGTAAAAGATAGTTTAAATTCAGCTTTGCTCCCTACCCCTGAAACTCTAAGCACTCCTCAGTGCTGCTGATCTGGCTCACCAGCCTTAATCTCTCTAATATAGGGACACTGGTCTACTCCATAGGAGGGGTGTGAAGATGAACTGGCTGTTTTCGCAAAAAGAAAAGGAGGACTTGTGGCACCTTAGAGATTAGCATATTTATTTGAGCATAAGCTTTCGTGAACTACAGCTCAC